CCAGCACCGCCAACGTTCTCGTGAGTTCTCAAATAGGCTCCCTCTTGTACTGTGGCGGGGAACTGCTTTGCGTCCCTAGAAATTCCAGACCGACGGTGCAGAAGCATACCAGCAAAACTGGTTTATGACCAGACCCAAGCGCCATCTGATGTGTGCGGTTGCAGAAGTCTAATCTGCCCCTTAGACAGGTATGGGGCATTGCAGAACCCAAACGACCCCCATTCCAAAGAGGTGTACCCGTTCATCCGTTTCAATTTGCATGTTTTCAAAATAAAAACAAGGCATTGTTGGGCTGCTGTATAAAACCTCGAACTCAACGCTATTTCTGACATTTAGAATCAAATCAAAGTCTTCAAACTTGGAAACAAAGTCCAGTGGATTGTTTATAATTTTTTATGGAATAACTGATCTGGATGACTGAGAATCTTCCCAAACATGATTTTTATATAAATTTAGTTGTTGGGAGCATGAACTAAACAGAAACCTCACCAGCTGAATAAATTAGTCTTCAAAAAGTTCCACTTCTTTATATTAATTTTTTTTTTCTCCCCAAGTTGACAAAAGCTAACATTCAGGTACCATTTTTAATCAACTTTTTTGATGGACTAACATTGCCTCATTAGCCTCCATATTCAAAAGGATCAAGCTAAAGCATGAAATAATGCCTGTTCATTCCAGTCAGAGGTTTTGGTTGAACCAGGTTCAGCGCTAATGAACCATTATAGAATTTAGCAGTAAGAACATAAAGGAAAGGAGCTAAAACCACGACTTTCCCGTTTGAGTTTTTATTTTCAACTCGTTTACTTCACTGCTCCTTCAAATTTAGACGTTTAGAATCTAATTAATTTGAAAGACAATGAGTAATTTGTCAGGGAGTGGCCGCCTAGTGGTTAGGGCATAGAGCTTGGAATCCTGAGGTTGTGAGTTTGAAACCCACTCTGGCTTCCTGAGCAAGAACCTTAACCCTACACTGCTCACTGGGTGCTGCACAATGGCAGCCCACTGCTCCCCAAGAGCATGGGTTAAATGCAGAGTGAATTCCATTGTGCTGCACTGGAAAGGAAGGTCATTTGTAGTAAATCCTTACTAAATTAATTCAAGTTTATGCTGCACCCCTCTATAATATATATATAGTTCATTATGTTCTAAAAGCCTTGACTTGTCACCTCCCTATGGCATCACATACATTTCTTAGAACAGATTTGGTGTTTGGAATCCATCTACTTTAATTTAAAGGTATAGTGAAGGATATTTGCGAATTTTGAAGACTTTTTAAAAATAATGCACATGCACAACCCCGTGCCCACTCACGAGAGGGAACATCTACTAAACGTGCGAGAGCATGCACCAGCCCATTTCTCCTCATGCATGTTCCTTTTAAAATTTGTTTGCATCGCTCATACAAGCCGACTTTCCAAAAGATTTGCAATTTTCCACTATGTCAGAGTTACCACAAATAAGTGAAAATGGGGATGAGCAAGTAGGACGGCCTTACGTAAACATATCACCAGAATGATTGACAGTTAGGAGGAGCACTTATTTTAATGATCCACCTGGTAAAAAGAACATCCTTCACTATACCTTTAAAATGCACACTTAGTTTTATAGATACAGGATTACAACTACCGTATGTATTTTATGTAATATACAGCACTTTACCAGTAATGGTCGGACAAAAACATGGCGTTTAAACTAAAACAAAGACAGAAAGACACCAGAAGGAAAATGTTAAGATTTTATTTACAGTCCTTTTGCATGAATTCTCATTTAACTTACAGAAAGTAAAAAAATAAACAAAAAAACCCCAAAAGAAAGCAAACCACCTCACTGCGGCTGTCAGAGTGAAGGAACAGCTGGATCTCTCTGGAACACGAAGCCATAGAGAGAGAAAGAGTCTGAGACGGTGTCCTGAGAGCCACACAATAAACAAAACTTTCTCTGAAAAAATAGATCTTTTAAAAAGCTCTGCTGGCAAAAAAACAAACAAAAAAAAACGACAGTTTGCCCTGAGCGCACAGGATGCTGCGGGGAGACGGGGGGGCAGGTTGGCAGAAGATTACGGACAAAAAGGAAAGAGGACGAGAAACGGGGAGTAAAGGACTCGATTCAAACATCAAAGTACAAAAATCTGCATCCACTGACCTGAATGTCATCATTTCACAGCTCATCCATTCAGCATCACATAAATAGCTTCTGATGGATACGACAGACCGTAGAAAGATAATTAACGACTTCACCGACACTTTGTTCCTAAACGCAGCATTTTATGGCTGAAGGTTTATTTTATTCCCCAGAATATCAGAGGAAGCTGATCATGCAACCTTCAGGTTGCTTCTGCTAAAAATACGGGGCGGATTTTTAAAGGTGGATTAACAAAAATAACAAATCTGGTCCAAGTTTCTTGTTTATAAACAAAGATTCAATCTGCTGATTAAAGGTGGCGAGCCTTTGTATAAAAAAGAACAAAGAAATCTGTTGGATTGGTTTAGGAAGAAAAATATCTACCGATGTTTTCTTAAGGGATTTTCATTTACTAACCTATAAGTCTGAAGATTTAACATTGCATTCCTGAGTTTATAAGAAATGTACAAAAAAACTAAACAAAAACATCTTGAAGAATGAGGCGTTCAGAGGATTTTCATTTGGAGAAACAAGAAAAACTGAAGTTATGGCGGCTTTGGAGAGGATTCGTGATTGGGTGAAAATGGAAGCAGAGCTGGTGTCTGTTTATAAGGGACAATAGGTGGGGGAGGGGGGGATCACTCATCATCCTCGTCTTCGTCTTCAGGGTCTCTCTTCCTTTTCTGTCCTTTGACCGGAGATGAATCCTCCTCTGAGAAGAAAAGCACAGATTAGGAGACCGGGTCAGATGAAGAGCAGCAGAAAGCTGATTTCTGCACCAACAGACTGAGCTTCATCATCATCATCGTCTGCAGATGTCTGAGCTCCCATATTCTACCAAGATAAATTAAAGATAAATAACTGCATATCTGTGCGTCTTCTTCCTGCTTTCACTGCAAAAAAGTTAATCCAAATAAGT